CCACATGTACATGTCTGCTGTCGTTGCCCTTGTTCAGGTCATATTTAAGCAGCCATGTTGGTGAGACTTCACAGATGTAGGTTCTGTGACATCTCTAGAAGACACAGTCTCACAGTAAATTTCCTGTTCCTCAGAGCTCTTACCACAGATACAGTTTTCAGGTTGTGTTAAGGAAACTTCTCGTTGCATCAGAGACAACCACAGTGAACCACAGTTGGTCAAAATGCCGAGTTTAGAAGCCCAGGCCCAAGTGACACAGGACAGCACAACCCCTGCACCCAAGGCCTAGGGAGCACTCTGGAGGTAGGGAAAGAAAGGTTGTAAAAGCCCGAGGAACAGGAAATGTCTTTCCTGTTTTCATTTATTGTTGCTGGATAACCAATCACCCCACTACTTCCTGACTTAAAGAATCATTGATTTTATAATCCTCAAGATTTTGAGGTTTATGGTATTCTTCTGCCCCTTGGGTTCATTCATTTGACTTCAGTCAGTTAGCACCTCAACCAAATACAGATGGTGCAAGATTGCTTAGCTCCTGTGTGAACAGTATCAGTAAGCCAGTGGCACCAGAGACAGAAGGAAAGGGGTCCGGAACATCAGGCGAGAGTGGAAACTCTGAGCTTACAGCCCCTTTATTTCCAGTAGCTTGGCTAAAAATCAAGGAGATGAGGCTATGCTAATAAATTTGAACTTACCTTTTCAACAAAGCCTCAGGTGTTTAAAGCAAATGAAATGTATTGTGTGAGATGCCTATGTCTTTTTTCAGTTGTGTCTTATATAGCTCAAGGAGGCTTCAAACTCACTACGTGCCTGGAACTTATCATTTCTCATTCTTTCTGCTGATAACTCCCAGGTACCAGGACACACCCCCCCCCATACCTAGTTAGACTCCTTTTCTTTCATTTATGCGCATGAGTGTATGTCAGTGTGTGTGCTACTGCCTGCAGAGGACAGAACAGGGAGTGGAATCTTCAAGAGCTTGAGTTCCTGGCAGTTGACAACCACCAGATGTGTGTTATGGACATTTTAACCATCTGAAAGGACAGCAAGTGCTCACAATCACTGAGCCATCTCTCCAGCCCCATTTTTTAATAAGCATTAACTTATCCAGCTTCATGATAAATAGCTTCAATAAGGGTACACTAATTTCTCTAACCTGTTTTTAACCATCAATTTATGCAGCCATTTTGCAGAAAACAAAATACTGTAAAAGAAACTAATCTTAGAATCTTCGCTATAACAAGTTGTGCTTTTCCACACCCTCTTTTAGATCAATGTGTTACATAGGTCTCAGTTGTTATTAATCTGAAATAAAGATACAGCAACCGAAATATCTGATATTTAGGTAGCTCATAATGAGCTTGATGCTGTTCTAAGCCTTTTGCGCATCTCAGCTCTGGTTGACCTTTGCGATGATGATCGTGTGAGATAAGGATCTGCCATCATTTTGGACGTGAAGAAATTAGGAGTCAAGCAGGGTAACTGACTTATCTTAAACCAGAAAGCTAGTAAACACTGCAGCCACAATTTGAACGCACAAAGCCTATCACTAAGGCACATTCTGTCTTCTACAGAGAGAATTTGATTATTTGGCGTATGGAAGGCACTTAGGACAGTGTCTGGCACATGGCATACACTCAATAATTGTTGGCTGTTATCAGTGCTACCATAATGAGTTTAGTAATTTGGTTTCATCTCCTTTAAATTAAACCAGTTTTTCACGTAAATTAGCTAGGGTTTCTCTTTGAATTAGGTCACAGAGAAATTTTCATCCTATTGTATACACTCATTAACGTCTGTAAAACAAGGTTTTACAGACTGTGCCTACAATAATCTATTACTTTTGCTGTTATCCTTATTTCTTAATTTTCCCTTAGTATTGCCTTTGTGTATTAAGCTTTTTTCTTTTCTTAGACCATTTTGAATGATGGTTTCCTAGAAGAACTGTAGCGTAAAAGTAATACTCTCGTGGGTCTTTGTGTCCATCAGAGGTTGTTCAGTCAGTACATCATACTATAAGTTTAAGGAATTCTGCTTAATAGCTTGATATTTATAATTTATAACTTTCTTTATATTAATACAAGCCCTTACAAAGAATTTATAGAATGTGATTTTCATCCTTTGTTAGTATGACAAACTTGCAAGTATTTAAAATTATGGAAGTGTTTACTTGAGCCATTTGTACACCCTCTACTCTTTTAGTCCTTCTCTCAGGCATTTTCCTTTTTACTAAATGAACCATTTTTTTTCCAGAGCATCTCTCCCCTGACAGAATGGCCTGACTCTTCCCCATCTGAGTCACAGGCTCCTAAATGCACTCCATTGTGCCTATGTTCCACTTAGAGTGAGGATTCCAGACACGACCAGGGCAGAACACAGAGGGGCTATCGCGTTCCTTGACCAGACCGTCTATTTTCAGAAATGGATCCTAAGGTCACATTAGCATATTTGGCACTGAAATCCCTGTGGGCCCATGCTTTTGTGCTGTCAACCAAATCCTCCATGACTTTTCACATGAACTCCCATTAAATCAGGCTTCCCACATCCTGTACCAATGGAGACAGTAATGGGCAGCTTGGTAAAGTTATTTACTTAAGTTCCTATTAAGTTTTAGTTAATCTATATTTATTATTTTAGAATGTTGAAACATAATTATACTCCCAACTATATATAGATATGGTTTTTAAATACTTTAGTATGTTTTGTGTCGTCTCTGAGCTTGTAAGAACATAGTCTCAGACAGTCTTGAAGTTCAGAGTTTTACAGTGTATGATAGCGTCCTAGAGACTGAATGTAGCTGTTTGCCCTTAAGGGCAGCATCAGTTGGGGATCCACCCAGGGGCCTTAACAATCATGCATATTAAAGTGTCTTTTCCTGAAGATATTCTGGGAGACTATTTAAGTGAATGGCACAGATCTGAATGCTGCCTGTAGCAGGGAGGAGCTGAAACATAACTTTATTTTCCTTATCAGTGTCTAAAAAGACACAAAATCTTATCCTGGGACTTAGAACTATCCTTCTTTCCCAAGTCCTTATAGTCTAAGACTTTCTCATTTTAAATCCCAGAATGATCTCATGTTTATGCTTCCTGCTTTCTCTGAAATTGGCAGTTTCTCATGGGAAAAAATTCATTTATACTTGTTTGTTTTCATAAAGCAACAGGGTAGTAGGCTTACCTGAAATAAATATGGTGGTGATAAATAAAACAATAAAGCAAAATCTATGACTTCTCATATGCATCTTTTTAATTATGTAAATTATGTTTCATTAGTATAGAGAATGGTGATTCATGGTACACTGCTTATACATATCTGTCATTTAACATTATTCTGGTGTTGAAGTTCCTTCTGTCTATGTGTTGCCTTTATTGCTTAATTAATAAAGAACTGCTTTGGACCTATAGCAGAGCAGAAGTTAGGTAGGCAGGGAAAACTAAGCTGAATGCTGGGAAGAAGAAGCGTGAAGTCAGAGAGACACCATCAGAGTCAAACATTCCGAAATTTGCTGGTAAGCCACTGTCACGTGGCAATACACAGATTAATAGAAATGGATTAAATTAATATGTAAGAGTTAACCAAATAGAAGCAAGAGCTAGTGGGTCAAGCAGTGTTTCAATTAGTAGTTTCTGTGTGATTATTTCAGGTTTAATGTAGCCGGGCAGCTGGGAACCAACAAGCGACCTCTCTACTACATTACTCATATGGTTTCACTCTTTTCAACTCTCCCCCTCCCACCCTGCTGGTCCCATTGCTCCCAAACAAGTCCCCGCAGCTTCCTATCATATGTACATCTTTTAGCTCTAGATTCTCCATAACAGAGAGAACCTAATATTTGTCTTTCTCCTTAATACCCTCCTATTTTTTTTAACAATTTTGCTCTACCCTACATGGTTCCGCCTCTACTTTACTTTCATGTCATTTGTCAATATCTATATAAATATAGAGATATCTTAATCTAGTTTCCATATACAAGAGAAAATAGTAAATACCTATCTTTCTGAATCTGGCTTATTTTGATTTACACAATGATATTTAGTTCCATTTTCCAGCAAAGGACATAATTTAATTCTCCTTTACAGCTGAAGAAAACTCCATTATGTGTGTGTATGTGTGTGTGCATGTGTATGTGTGTATGTATGTGTATGTATGTGTGTATGTGTGCATATATATGTGTGTGCATGTGTATGTATATATGTGTGTGCATGTGTATATGTGTATATGCTTTATGTGTGTATGTGTAAATGTGTGTGTATGTGTGTGTACTATATATTTTTAATCTGTTCATCTGATGAACATCAAAGCCAGTGTCATATCCTGGCTATTGTAAATAGTGTAGCAATAAACATGGATGTGTAGGTATCTCTGTACATGCTGGCTTAAGATCCTTCAACTCTATATGTCTATCCCAGAATGGTAAAGCTGCAACAGATGGTAATGTACCTGACAAGTTTTTTTATATGTACTTCTTTTTAATGTTTAAAATATTTATTTTTATTTTATGTGTATGGGTGTTTTACTTGTGTGTTTGTCTGTATACTATGTGCACATAGTCCTCAAGAGACATGAAGAGGGCATCAGATCCCCCAAATATCTGGACTCACAGATATTTGGGAGCTACTGTGTGGGTGCAGGAAATCAAACTTAGGTCTTCTGTAAGAGCAACAAGCACTATGAAGCGCTAAGCCATCTCTCTAGCCCCACCTTAAGTTTCATGAGGGACCCTTACTCATTTCTAATGGCTGTACTCAAACAGTCTCTGTAGATTTCCTTTCCTCTACACCCACCAGACTGACTGCTAAGATTTCGAGCAACACTAGAAATCTGAAACGTGATGGTGATACCGTGCTTGTTTTAGATGACATTAAATTACTAACAGCGTCACCACAATACTGTGATGTTTATGGGAATAACTGTCAACTGTCTCAGAATTTACCATAAAACAATTAAAAACAAATGCCTCATTATGCTTAATATTCTTAATTGTTTTATTCAACTTCCAGGGTTCTTATTGGTTCTCCTCTAGTTGGTCAACCCAAAGCAAGAACCGGAGATGTCTATAAGTGCCCCGTTGGGAGAGAAAGGTCAATGCCTTGTGTGAAGTTGGACTTACCAGGTATGTTAAATCAAATAGTCCATCCTAACTCATGCCCATAGTTTCACCGAAGAAAATAAACTTTCAAGTGACACAAAATATTATTTTATCAATCTAAAAATATAAAATATGAAAATAAAATATTAATTTATCAATATAAAGTATTAAAAGTAATAAATCATTTCACAGTTGCTGTCTAAAATTCACAAATAATAACGCCATGGATCCCTCCGCCCTCACTTGGTTTCTGTACTGCATTGGGAAACAATTCGTCGAATCCAAATTGCTTACTCCTTTTGTAACTTTGCTTCTTACCATTGTTCAAGATTTGAAAACAAGCAGTTTGCCAAATTCTGTCACAGTCCTCCCACAAAATGCAATTTAGTTTCTGGGACTTTAAGGGAAAATGAATGACAAAAATTACATTAATTCGATTTATTAATAGATATTTTAAAAATATGAGATATAGCTATGTCAACATAGCTTTGTTTTGATAAAATATCACTTTGGTTGTAGTATGACTAGAAAATTCCTCCAAAAGTTAGAGAGGATTTAGAATTCGTTCAGTATCTGTGCAATACTAAAATGATGAAATTATCTATATCCCCACAAGCTCACTATAGATAATGCATGTTTCTCAGATCTCTGGCTTTCAGTTTCTTATTTCTTTCTTCACTGTGACTATTTCTCCTGTGCATGCATGAGCACAGGCTAGCTGTTTGACCATCCCAGCCTGACAACGGCAGCATCAAGTATGCCTTCAACGTCTGGTTTGCTACCTTTCCTTAACACTGGATTAAAGTTTTTGGCTTCTCATTAGTTGTTCATACTTTTGCAACACAAACTGCACTATATTTTTAGTTATATGTATAGAAACTCAGTCTTTTATGTTCCTTTGAGCGGTATTAATTTTTTAAAATATTAACAGTCAATATATTTGGCAGAGAGCACTCCCAGTTATTTCCTGCTAGGAATTCTTAGAGTTCTATTTGGTTCTTTTCATTTTCACTAGGCTGTGTGGACTCTGCTGTCCACATTGCCTATCCAGGCAATCCAGATGGATGGACAGAATACATAAACATATAACTGACCTCTTATGACTCCTATTCAAGATACTCCCTGCTCTTTTTGGTAAATTGACCCTAAATTTCTCCCCTCATTTTCATCAAGACAGTAGGCCTGGGACTCCTGTCTGAGTTTTATTACCTAATAGAGTCTTTCTTTTTTTTTTTCACATGATTTGATTTTATTAAAACCTTGCAGGTGTGTGGGGAAATTTGAACAAACGAAAAACATGTCTAATTAAAGTAATTGAAGTCATGGATTACTAGCTGTCCAGATAAAGCTGTTTCTGTCTTTAAATGAATTAAGTGTTCTCTCTCTCTCTCTCTCTCTCTCTCTCCTTTTTTCCTTCTCACCCCTCCTTTTGCTTCTCCTTCCTTCCTCCTCCTCACTTCCTCTCTTTTCACTTATCTTCATCTCCTCTCTCCTTTCAATAGAGTCTTTCTTTAGAAAAGAAAAAAAACAGAATGAAGCACAGATCCAAGGAGTCCAGCCTCAGTTTCTACTTTCCCATGTTAGGAGTCTTCTGTAGCACCTGCCAGCTTGAGGTCACTTCCCAATGCCTTCAGATGGCTGGTTCCTGCTTCTTCCTCCCCCTTTTTAAAATTTATCCTTCATTCCTTTAAACCAGAATAGTTTTTAAACTAGCCTGGAAATTTTAACACTAAGAAACATTTCAATAGCCTCTAATTGTCCCAGCAATACGGTTCTTAGACAGCCCTCATTTAAAGTCCAAATACAGGTCATTTGATACCAATGTACATAGTAGCCTAATCTGCAATGCTTTCATTTGCAGGTCCTTTGACCCATAATGCTTTGTCAAGGCTTTTGTATTATGTTAATACATAATACAAAATAATTATGTAATACATAATACAAAATAATACATAATACAGGGCCTTTGCACAAATATTGCTTCTCTGGTTTTGTGTCTTTATGGTATTTCCCTGTGTGTGAGCATGTGTGTCTCTGTGTCTGCGTGTTTCTTATGCTTTTCTTTTGGCTCTTGCCCCTCTGTTTGTTTTGTCCTATTTCATTTTGTTTGTTTTGTTTTATCTGGCCTTATCTAATTTTATTACCATTCTTTAGATTCCTGTTTGTTTTCCAGCGAGAGAAAGAAAAGGTGTGGATGGAACAGGAGGCCCAGAGGGTCTGGGAGGAGTTGGGCGAGGTGAAACCGCAATCAGAATATATTGTATGAAAAAAAAATCTATTTTCAATAGAAGAAAATTAGAAAGGAAAAAGAAGGATGCTTTCAAAGGAAGACAGACCTAATGCTTGAACAAACCCCGGTTCTCAGAACAGGAAGTGAGACAGACCATGTAGGAACCTGTTTCCCCATTGACTGTGAGCCTGTAGGCAAGAATATGTGCGGACATGAGCCAAGCTAAGAGTCTTCCTTAAGCTTGAATCATGCTGCTTTCAAATATTTATCCACTTCTCTCCAAGCAGAATTTAAAAGTCTTCACTTTTGATGTCCATTCTTATTAGTTTTTTACCACGAATGTTTTAGCAGCGCTTCCTGTCAGTTTTGTCAGGTTGGAATGCTGTGGGGCCCAGCATTCCTCTTTGGAACATCCAATGAAGTCCCTTCACCATATTTCCTCCATCCAAACTTCCGGGACACTTCTCTATTCTTGATCCAGCTTCTTTGCAGCTCTCATGACGTCCCTATGATATTGAAAGTCACGATAAAGAGATTTTGTTGGATTTTCTGTTCTATGCATATTCAGTTTTCCTCCCAGGGGTCAAATTTTGCCATTGGTTGTTTATAACGCAGAACATAAATTATCTCTGTACTCTTAAGAAACTCTCACTAATGCATTTGTTTCAGTTAGCAAAAACATGTGAAAACCAATCCCGCGTTCTCGTGGCCCTCCTAGTTCTGCATTCTTTCGAGGTCCAGCCAAACTATTTGAAACAGTGATAGAGACAGAGTCTCTGGGCCACCAGCCAGCTCTTCAGCCTTGACTTGTTCATTATATTCCCCAGTGCCAGGAAGTCTATCTAGCTGAACAAGAACAAGAATGCGCTCTGAGATGAGCAAGGCAAATAGAATGTTTTAATGAGGAGACACATCACTTCATATGATGTTACATTTTTCACACTCATGAAATTCTGCTCTGTTTTGTAGTGAACACATCAATTCCCAACGTCACAGAAATAAAAGAAAATATGACATTCGGATCAACTTTAGTCACCAACCCAAACGGAGGATTTCTGGTGAGAAAGAATAGAGTGATATGTTTTATAAAAAATGGGAATGTAGTTGTGTATGTCTTTGAAACTTGTTACATGAGGTTCAGTTTTAAAGGGTGTTGTTTTTTATTGTTTTAAAGGCATGTGGGCCTTTGTACGCCTACAGATGTGGACATCTGCATTATACAACTGGAATCTGTTCTGACGTCAGCCCTACATTTCAAGTTGTGAACTCCTTTGCACCTGTGCAAGGTACACATTTTATGCAACGCTCCTGCACCTTGGAAAACATGAGCAACAAGTGAGCTCTAAGTATACACAAGAGCATACCAGACGGCTTCTTGGTTTTGTCATCTGCTCGCATTACCAACTTGGGCAAATATTTGCTTTGCCAGTATATAACCAAACTTTGCTCCTGTTTTTGGAATTGCTATTAGTGTAAATAACCTTGCTAATCATGTTTAAACTTTGTGGCTAATGCTGTCAGGCTGCTTTGTTTAAAGGGTGAATCCCTTTGAGGAGAATAACTTTTCTGGGAATGTACAGAATAAAAACAGTATCAAACCGGTGATGAGAACATTCTCAAATGGGACATGCATATCATTAATGAAAATAAATTAGAAGGCCGGGCATGGTGGGGCACACCTTTAATCCCAGCACTTGGAAGGCAGTGGCAGGCAGATCTCTGAGTTCAAGGTGAGCCTGGTCTACAGAGCTAGTTCCAGGACAGCCAGGGTTAAACAAAGACACCTGTCTCAGAAGGAGGGTGGGGGTATCACAAAGTGATTATAACCAAGTGCAGTATTTCTGACTTCACTTATTCTTTTTTCTAAAATAATATAAAAACAGTGGGTCCACTTTGTATAACATCAGTGTTAGCTTTTAATATGAGTTTCTTCCAGCCAGGAAAATACTTTACTTACTCCGAAGAAGGTAGATTATAAGCTCACACACCACTTCTTTCTGTCGTAGAATGCAGCACTCAGCTGGACATAGTCATTGTTCTAGACGGCTCCAACAGCATCTACCCCTGGGAGAGTGTGACCGCTTTCTTAAATGACCTTCTTAAGAGGATGGATATTGGCCCTAAACAGACACAGGTGTGTGACTCCACATATTCATTTCGGTGTTTTAAAACTAAAATCCAGGGTTTTGGACTGGTCATGTGTTTGGGTAACTCCCTTAAACTAGATGTGTACTGTTTATATTTGTGAGTTAAATTGAATCAAAGTGATTTTGACTGGGTGTGCTAAACCATGCCTTTAATCACAGCACTTGGGATGTAGAGGCTGGTTTATCTTTGTGAGTTCAAGGCCAGCCTGGGTCTCATTGCCACTTCCAGGCAAGCCAGAGCTACACAGGCGTCCTGGCCTGAAAAAAAAAAAAAAAAAAAAAAAAAACTTTTTTTTTTTAAAAAAAAGATCTTACTTTTTAAAAAGACAAAAAAAATCAGATTTTTAATAAAACATGATATTCTGAAAATAAACTAATAAAAAAAACAAAAATAAAGAAGGATGAATTTTGTCCCTATTTTTACTTATGGAAAAGAACATTATTGTGGATCCTATTTACCAAACAGAAAATGTGAACACCAATCTTGATGCAGCTTATCTCTGTAGATCTCTGTAAACTGACAGTTTAACCCTTTGGTGGACTCAGAGCAAGGTTTCAACATTTGGAGAAATGAAATGAAATCTCAGAGGATTTTCATGTTATAGTCACCTTTCTTATAACAAATGAAGCGTGTTACTAATTGACCTCCAGCTACTCCTTAAAGTCTGTTTTCCATGTTTTAGTCATTTCTGTCCCTAAATACAAGGAAATATATCCGGCTCTAGCCACAGAAATAGTTGCTATTTTCTGGTGTACAGATTCTAAGCTCATTGCCTTTATAGTCTATAAAGGAGGTGAACTGTTCATACCTCTCTTCCACCGCAGATACTGAGTTTGTGTTGAATTAATATAGTGTCTATACGTTTACCCATTCAGATACCTTTAAAAAAAAAAACCCACATAGATGCAATGAGTAACAGGCAAGTAAGCTGTTAGGGTGAGCTCAGGGCTTAGGAGGCTCAAGTCAGCGCTGAGGTCAGAGTTGAAAAGGTTGTGGCACAGTAGGGCAGTGATAGGTGAGCACAGGAAGCCTTAGGCTTTGTGTTTCTGCTGACCCCGTTCTTCCCTCCCTTTTTCCAGATGGCTTTGAGAGAAACTTCCGAAGCACAGACAGAGCTGTCTGATGACATCAGTGTTTATCCTGTCTACATTAAAATTAGGACTTAAGTTATACACGTTTACAAATGTGTCTCTGCACATGTGTAGAGGCTTAATCTGTTTCATATAAATACATATGTGTTTATAACATATATTATATTGTATACATACAATTTACCAAAGAAATGATGGTAGAATAATTTAAATTGGGAATGAAACCTTAAATGTGAACTGTTTTGCTGTGTTCCAAGACTGGAAACTCCCTAGGAAGTCATACTAGAAAAGTGATATTACAAATACCCAACTGGAACGTCTTGAAATCAGTTAAAGAAACTAGACTTTTAAACAGGGTGGTGGTGGCACATGCCTTTAATCCCAGCACTTGGGAGGCAGAGACAGAACTCTGTGAGTTCAAGGCCAGCCTTGTCTACAAGAGCTAGTTCCAGGACAAGCCCCAAATCTACAGTGAAATCCTGTCTTGAAAAACAAAACAAAAAGAGAGTAAAAAAAGAAAGAAAGAAAGAAAGAAAGAAAGAGAGAGAGGGAGGGAGGGAGGGAGGGAGGGAGAGAGAGAGAGAGAGAGAGAGAGAAAGAAAGAAAGAAAGAAAGAAAGAAAGAAAGAAAGAAAGAAAGAAAGAAAGAAACTAGGTTTTTATCTACCACAAACTATAAATTTTCCTCCATGTGGCTTTCAGCATGTAATTGATCTTCTCAAGTCTTAAACTAGGAAAGGATATTGTACCTGCACAACTGTTGACTTGTTCTTTCTTCAGGTGTATATTCCACCTGAAACCCCCCATAACCCCTGTTCTTTCTCACCTTGGTTGATAAAATTTCATACAGTGAAAAAAAATAAAACATGGGAATCTTTAAAGTCACAGAGTTTGTGTCAAAGTATGAGAAGTTCAGTAATGGTTCCTAGTCACTTGGCGGACTCTCGCAGATCAGAATAGGATGCTTGGAAAACTGAAGTCCCAAGATTTTGCTCTCTGAGACCTTCAGTTCTAGGAAAGTCTCTGAACAGGTCCCATCTGCGTCTATTTAGCTTATCACTCGTACTCTCCTGTCCCAGGGTCACTCTGTGTTCCACAGTGTTCCGTTCCCTCTGCCATCATGACTAATAAAGAAGGGCTTGCTCACAGTCCCTCTCTCCATCCCATTTTCCCTGTTCCTTGTGATGTTTCCTCCCTCACCTACTTCGTCCACCCACTTTTACTGTCTTAACCCATCTTTTCATCCCAAGCCTTATAACATTCTTAATTTCTAATATTGTCTAGGCATCAGAATATTTCAGTTTAATTTTAACTCCAGTGGTTTATTTCACCATAAAAATATCTGTAGCTGTTTATGGAAGCCAGGTCAACTGTTTTAGAATAACCATCATCGCCTCCCTGAAGAGTGGTGCCAAAGACTGGGGTTTGGAAATAGCAATCACATACTTACACATTCAATTTACACTTTTATATGTTTTGCACGGTTAGAACTGGAGTTAATTTGTCTTAGCATTCCCAGAGGGACTACTCTGCTTGTACAGCAGGGGAAATTCAGCTTGCTAGGGTGGGCTTCAACGAGTACTGAGTCTTCCTTGGATGGAACAATGACACTACATAGAGGAATGGAGGTCAGTCCTCGAGAGCCAGATGCAACAAGTCAGTGCAGGTAAATGCACTCACTATGAAGCAAAGGATAGAATCAACTCACTTAGTTCCATTCCACAGATATTTCTTTCTGCAACATTATCCCCAGTGTCATTTGCAGTATCATCTAGCTCTACCCAAGATGACCTGGTTCCTAAAGAGAGAAACTGAGCAGGTTATGGTTGTATGTGCCCGTAAGCCCAAAACCCAGGAGACTGAGACAGGGGAGTCATTGTGACTTGAGGCCAACCTGGGCTACACAGGAAGTTCCAGACTAATCTGTGCTACACAGTGAGATATTGTCTCAAAATATTAATTTAATTTACAAAAATAAAATAGAGAAAATGACTATAATTCTGAATTTACACAGCACATTTTGCTTGTACCATGCACAGTGAAGCCTAACCACAGTGGCTCATTTATTTATTCGGAATAATTGGTGAATGTTTGCTCCGTGGCAGCTCAGTGTGAGGGCTTTGTTATTGTGGGGGAAAAAGAGGCGTGACTATTGCTTCAGTGGGACTTCTGAGGAATGTTCCTTCACACACACCTTGTGGAATTCCTGTCTCAAAATACCAGAGGTGCTTGGACTACACCCCAAACTTCCAGAATCAGAATTTGTAAAGCTGTAGTGAGAACATTGAAGTTGAATCTTATAGGATTTTTAAATATCTTAAAACTTTGGAAACCCTAGTTTAATGCTCTATGCTCATATTGCTGTCCATATTAGCCTCTTTCTCTAGATTACAGTCAACTCAAGAGCACAGCGTGATTCAACTACCCCACATTAGTTCACCACTCAGCTGAAACAATGAACTTTAGTGAATAGTTGAGAAATACATGTGCACAGCACAACATTTGCTCTGTTTTTCTCAGATGGTAAATATTTGATGAGATATTTTTTGCAGTTGGCACTTTTAATTTTCTTCTCAGCATATTAATTTAAATTTGGTTGTTTATACTGTCTTCATGTTCTGGTTTAAGATATATCAATGACTAGTTTCATAAACACTTCTCTAAAGTAGAAGCATTTAGAAGGACACATTAAGCCAGTTACATCTGCTAAACATTTAATAAGACATTCAGTATGACATTTTAAACTCTTAAAAAATTGATCTCCTTTCAATAGATTCAAAAAATCATTCATTTATATAAAACTTAGAAAAATATTTCCTCCCCAAAGATAGGAACTGAAAAGTATGCTAATATCTCATGTGGTCTCAAGCAAATCTTTTCAAACATGGAAAATTTGTTTTGACAACCATTTATTTTCAGACTGATTACAAATGCAATTTAAAGAAATTTGATTCATGGGTTGCTTTGTTTTTGTTGTGATGAAACCATTCAATTCTTACTGACTTGCAGAATTAGCTCCTAGAATTCCCCTTCCCTTTTCTTACCTTTTACCTCCATTCATGAGAGGAACAAAATATAAAATGGTTTGTGTGAGAGAGTTTCCAGAAGCTGGAAATCCATGCAACTAAGAGCAAGCAACTGATAACTCTCAGGCATCTGATATTTATCAAGGGTATAACTGTATGGGGGATGGAATTAAGGGGCTGGGGTGATGGCTCAGTAGGTAAAGTTTCTGTGTTCAGATTCACCCGACCCCTACAGTGATCTTGACACATGCTCCACTAAGCTTGACAGTAGTTGTGATGTGTTTATAGAAATGGAATACACAATGGGCTAACACCCAAGGTACCTGTGACACCAATAATTGTGTTTAGTTATTGCCAGTCGAGTCAAAGCAGAGATGGCTGTATTGGGATCTGCCTTTCTTCCATGAATTGGTTTAAGTGTGTGTGTTTCCTGTGGATCAATGCTGGTCAAGCACTAAGATCCAGCATGAGGTCATTTTAGATTCTCTCTAAGAAACTTCTAGAAGTGAGTAGAAACACCTGCTGAGAAAAGCAGGAGTCTTCTATCTTCACTAGGAACAGAGGTCATGAGATGCAGGTAGCTCAGGGTGAAGGTAAAAGTGAGACATCTCAACAAAGGGACCCACAAAAAGCAATAGACAGCTACCAGACCCCAGCTCATCCTAGAACAGTATCAGTCAGTTGAGAATTTGTCTTCCCAACTCTATCTGGAAAGGTCAGAAATAATGATCCACAGCCTAAGTGAAACAAGGGGAAAGGCCAGTAAAGGAAAAGCAGGCCACGCCTCTTCCTTAACTGCCAACTTCTGACCTCCATCAGTAGAGGGAGGAGAAAGGTTGAACCTCAAGAGAACTTTGGCATTTTGTCTTA